TGATAAAATTTAACTAATTTATTTTAGTAAAGTGAATTGTTTAGATAAGTGGTGTCTAGTTTGAAACTCCTGACTAGTGTATACCTACGACCCTCTACAACACATGCACTCACTAAGAGTAAGCGGTGGGGACATTGATTTAATATGAGAGCTAGGAAGTGTACACTCTTAAGAATCCTCTAAGACGAAACAATTATATCACGCGCTATTTAAACTACTCAAAATGACTTATTTCAATTTAATGTTCATTTAAAAAAAAAAGTTGTTAATTGTAATTTATGATCTTTGTGAGAAGTAAAACAGACATCAGCTTGTAACCTATACACAAAAAAAGCAATTTACTTTAGGTGACTGATTTGAATATCGTCTGTTAAAGAAATGATATGGTTATTCGAAACTGTAACTTAACATTCATCAATTAATTGTCTTCACCTCTCATAGATACGTTCTTTACAGTTGAACACTTCTTTTTCTATACAACAAAGTATTCTGTTAGTTAGCTAACAAAGTATCAACTGATCAACGTGTTTAAAATCAATGTTCATATTTATTTTTATTTTTATTCATGGAATAGTTGATCATTTGACCTTATTGACTGAAGTAAAAACAAAGAAAACTTTTTCATCATCATATACTTATGACCTCAGATACATATTATGTGTCAGATTATATATATATATATATATATATATATATATATATATATATATATATATATATATATATATATATATATATATATATATATATATATATATATATATATATATATATATGATATATGTAATAACCTGTTACTAACTGTTGATCCTTCTTCTCTATTAACGCCATAACGATAGAATAACAATCTATTATGTAAAATAAAATGGACAAAATAGAGTGATAGCAACAAATCACCCTTAAGAGTGATATGTACTCATGTAAATCATCTTTATTTTTAAACAGATGATCAGTATTCAAAAACTGGAGAGAGAGAAAAAAAACAAACAGAGGATTGTGTGTTACACGCATTTTACTATCAAATTTAATGATGGTTACCTAATTTTGTGTTTCATGTTTTTATTCAATGTGTAAAATATGAGATCATGAGAAAAGGTTAAAAGATTTAAGGATAACCATCATTTTTCATTGTTCAATAACAGTTAAATATCTAATATTGTCAACTATTTCTCTATTCATTTAGTGGATCAGTGTGTTGCATACAAAAATATGATTTTCATTAGCGATTTTATTTCAGTCATCTTAAGTTATCTACATATTTTTTATATGAAGCCGTCACTGGAAACCATGTCAAATTCATAGATGGAAAAAGCAAGTAAATTGAGAGTTGAAGTTTGAAATAAATTCATCAATGAAAATTATGCTCTCACATTCAGTATTCACCCTCTAAATGAACAGGGAAATGCCCAAAAATGCTTGATACTACTGAACATATATTGAACATGGAAAAATGGGTGCGCAACAAATTCACAGGCATGTATCCCTTTCCATTAAAAAGATATAGTGGAGACAGAAGAAATTATATATCTGAGATACTGTCTTTAGGTGATGTCAATGATTTATTCATGTAGTTGGCTTTCAGTCACACACCGTGTCTAAGGATTAGAACGATATTACCTAACAGCTGTATGACTGAAGTAAAGGTTCAGTTCTACGGCCTGAAAATTAAAAGTCAAGTAATTGAATTATTAAACCATCCAACGGCTAAAAAATAGTTATTATGTTGCCAATTACACAGTAGTAATTAATCTCCGCTATTCAACCACCAATCCTAATAACTATGTAATTTGGAAATTTATCATTCTCCTCAATCTCCTATACTGAAAATCACCATATCTTAACTGGTAACTAACTCATAGAGGCAATTCACAGAGTTCTAGTGTGAAATCACGATCATTGGGGTTCAACACATACCAAGTATCAAACAAATAACATCAATTACAGTGAATAGTAGTGGTATAATATAAAAAACTGACTGAAATTAGAAATGTAAACAATTCGATGCTAACTCAATGATCTGGAGATTAGACGCTCTCCAGGAAAGTTTGAAGTTACTGGGGTTTGTCTCCTCCCAGGTGGAGTCGTAGGTACTTGTTACCGATGAGGATTCATATAGTAAAACGAAACACTTGTTCAGTAATTCATGGTCTTCAATAGCTGTCTAACTTAAAGTCATTCGGTGATGTAAATTTAACAGTTTTCACTATTCTGTCGTCGAATCACATTACCTATTCCTAACATTTTCTTACTATCGTTGTATACCGTCGCTACTTCCACTTCTATGGGACTTGTCTTAATATTTTCATCTCTTGTGTTGATGTGGTGTGATGTTCTGTATGATTGGGTGATACAGGTTATTTCTGAATGAACATCAATGAATAGTTTCAAAGAACATGAACAAGAAAGAGAGTTCAATTTTTTCAACTGCAATACATCGAGAACGTCAAGTTAATTCGCTTCAATTTGGAGACAATTGAATAGTGTGACTAGTGCACTTGCATCAAACGTGTGGTCCAAACAAGCCCTGTCTATATAGAAACTTCGATTATAATCCAAAAGGTTAAACATACTATCTAGTTTTCAATATTTCTACATAATATATCCAATATTATATTTTCTAAAATTGGTCAACGACAAACACATAAATGTGTCATTTCTCGGATCGTGGAAACCATTTCAAAAGATGGTGGGTATTCATTATAACCCTATTTGGAATCTTAATGTATAATCGTTGTATTTTGTAGGTGAACACAAACCAAATAATTCAATGCTTCCATCTGTTCCTTGGAAGAGTTCAACAAATGATGGTGGTAACAATGTATAATTTATTATTATCTTTATGAATAGATAGATCATAACTAGCAGTGGAATGAAAGAAGTGCATTTCATCCTATTAACGACTTGTCAACTGGATTTGCCTGCCACATCCCAATGTTGATTTCAACAAAGACTGGTCAAAATTCATTCTTAAATATCAACAACGGAATATATCAAGTCCTTATTACGAATAATATTTTTAGGTTATTCAGAATGGAAATTGAACATGAAATCAGTCATCACTAATACAATTTAACGAACGAATATCAATTAGTAGATTGACCATTGAAATCCTGTTAACTGCGTAACGAGTAATAAAAGTTTAACACAATTGAACGATGCACGAGTCGAAGCAGAGACATTGAAATGAAATGATGTTAGCGAATTGAACTAATCTCATCAACTATATCTATCTTGATTGGACAGAGCAAAGGATATACGAATATTTAACATGAAGCTAATTTAGTCTTTTAGAATGATCAGCCAGTTCACAGGAAATTAGAAATGTGACACATGGATGCATTGTATTCCATAACATGAAAATCGTAAAAGTCAAAACGTGACCCCATTTATCTACCAATTACATATGTCTATGTGTATCCTAATATTTGAACTGGACTTTATGGAAAGGCTAATGGTACCAAATAGTGATTTAAATGGAATTAGCCAAAGAATGGTTCGAACCTTCAACTAAGTCATCAAAAAGCCGAACAGATTTGACAATCTAAACACTGAAAAAAAGATAGTAATAAAAAAGTATACAGAAGAAAACCAGTACAGAGAATATAGTTCGCGAAGAAATTGATGTTATCGACGAACAGAAAGTGAGAAACAATCACAAGAAATTGCGATTTTAAAAGAATTCCCAAAAACAAAATAAATCTGATCCTCAACGATCAACAAGTCATCATTAACCTACGACCCTTAATTATAGATTATGATTATTTGGAGAACACTAAACAGAACAGGAGTAATAATAAAATGTGTGACAATGAAAAAAGAAACACCCATTTGTTTGAAGCTGTATCATGATGAGATTAAATATGTTCAAATTCGTGAGCCCAACTTCACAACACCTAGAACTTGTGTCCAACGACAAATGCTAATACTTACATTCCATTCACGTTGCAAAGTTGGTTAGAATAAAGTTTGGTATGTGTAAACTAAATGTGATATCAATCCAGACGTCACTGCCTGTTAGGTCTGAGCCGTATCGGGAGTTAGGGTGAAGTTGCAAACTACCCAGTGGGGGCTTGAGGAACAAACATTACTAAAAAATGGTCGGTTGTGGTGGAGATGTAGTGACTCTTTTTTTCTTTTCTTAAGTAACAAATCTGAATATTTTCTCAGAATTTTATTTCACGAATCCACTATTTCTTTCCAAACTATGTCCTCTATGTTGAATTGTTTTCCGTATTATCATTGATATTATTATTATTTCAACTTCGTTACTATTTCATCATGTTAATTCTATTTCGCTGTGCTACTGAATTGGGACTGATTTACAATTTTATTACGTTCTACATTAATTATTTCTTATTGTGCAGTGAATTGTTTTATGTATTTTACTAACTCCCTACATCACAAAATACACTTAGATATATTGGCGCATGACAAACAATATAAAATTAATTATTTCAAAGGGTTTGTGAAGATTAATTAAAATTGTAGGCAATGGTCGTCACAGTTGGGGTACAGTTGGAAATTGTTTCATTCTAGCATAAAACTCGGTAGAAATGTGTACACAGAAGTCCACTAAGGACTAAACACAGAATTTTTAGATCTCATAATGAACGTAAAACTCCTAAAACCACTTGGCTATTGTTCAACGATACAATTTGAACTCCGATCAATTTACGATGTAGTAAGAGGGTAATACAATTCCGTTGGTGATAACTGTCTCGATTCCCAACCTGACAGAACTCTACCAAACACTACTCACTAGAACTTCAGAAACATCTTGAAGTAGATCATCACTAGTGAGCTATCGTAGAATCAGTTGACTAGTTGTAGATAACTAAACCTACGGTCATATTCATATGTGGTTAGAAGAAACAATTATTTAACATTTCATTTGCTCCAATGGACTTTTTAAACAGTGGAATATTTTACAACATATATTAACCATTTAAAGACAAGAATTCTAAACTAATAAAAAGGGTAATTGAATAAAAATAACTTACCAGAATTGTGGCTTTCAGATTTAATTTGTAAACATAAACTAAGATCTAATGGAGATTCGAAATAATCATTTGAATTATTAGATAGATCTGATTTTACTGAGTGTACTGATGAACAGCGACCACCGCCGTCTCCACCGCCACCAACATTAGCAGCGGGACCCGCTGTCAGTGGTATGACTGAGGATGAAAATGACAATTTATCATTTTTATTATTTTTTATAACTGAAATATTGTCGTGCAACCCACAACTAGTTGTTTGAGGATGTTGAAGTATTGGAAGAGTAGATTGTAGAGGCAGTGGCGGCGGAGGAGTAGTAGATGCTGGCATTAAACCAGCTTGTCGAAGTAATAATGCAGCTGTCGTATTCAATGATGACAGATTATTAAATGGTGCTGTTGTCGAAGTTGTACATACACCATTGTTATTGTTTCCGGGAATAGGTGATAAAGGCATTGTACAACCGCCATTTGTAGCAGCTGCGGCAACAGCTGCCGCGGCCGCCGCTGCCGCAATTAACGGAGAAGCTGATGATGATGTTGATGACGGGTGATTCGTTGCCACTGATGAAGTAGTTGATGGTGTTGATAAACATCCAACACCTAAACTAGAGAATATACGTTTCAATGTTAATAAATCAGTGTTATCTAATGAATTTAATTGAGGGAATAAAAAATTATTCGAGACTGTATGATTATGATTAGTAGATAGAATTGATGTTGTAGATGTCGTGTTTGTTGCTGTCAACTCAATATTCATTTGTTGTTCACAATTCATCCGATTTAATGATTGTAACAACAAAGGTGATGATGATGACGAGGATGTCGTTGTCATTACCATAGAATTCATTAATGGATCAATTAAAGACGTTGACACTGGCAAAACAGTCGCTGATGTACAAGATGTTGTCGCTGTTGCTGTCGTCATTGTCATCAACATCGTTGTTGTTGTAGGCGACTGTGGCAATAATGGCGGTGGTGTTGGTGATACTGATGATAATTGATCACTTTTTAATAACATTTCATTTTGTGAATCATCCATCGACAATGAATCATTTCTTGACTTTGTTGTTGACATCATACAACAATCCATTTCGGATAATTTCAAGTCTCCATCACTATTATTATGATGATCATGGTGTTCATTATATACATCATTTTGTGTATCATCTAACGTTGATGATTGATTCTCCATAAATTTTTTATCTTCATCATTTAATGGTATATTAAAACGTAATTTCAACTCGATTAATTCATGATGTAATTTATGATTTTGTATTTGTAATTGATTAATACGACATTCCATGAGAATATCATTTTGTCGACGTTTTTCACGAGATCGTTTAGCTGCTTCATTATTTTTACGCCGACGTTCCCAATATTTATCGTCTTTTTTAGAATCCGGTATAAATTCACGTTGTTTACGATCACGTTCTATAGAATTCAATAAACTATTATTTATTGATGATGAGTCAAGATTGCTTTGTTGTGATGTTACTGGTATCGGTGTTGTAGTTGTTGATGACGATGATGATGTCATTATCGATGATAACATAGCTGCATTAAATTTATTATTAGGATTACCACTTGAATAAATGGAATCGATTGTATTTGAATTAGTTAAATGAATTGATGTTGATTGGGTCGTTTGCTGTACAGGTGTAAATGGTGACTGTACAGACCCCGTATCTGAAGATACATCGGAGCATGTCTGTTGAGAGGGTAAAATAAATGAAAAATTATTAAATAAATGACTATTATTATTACTACTACTGGTTACAGCATTATTATTACTATTGATATTATCATACAATGAATTCATTGAATGAATTGTATTCATAGCTGATATATTCAGATTGATACCAGGCGAACCAAGTGCATCTGTTATTTGACCATTCGAATTTTTACAACACACATTAGCAGGAGTATTGTTATTATTATTATTAGTGGTATTTGTGATAAGATTATCAGTCAATATGTCAACATTTTCATTATTGTTTTGATAATTCGATGGAAGCCATAACGGTAACATCGGCTGTGTTTGTTGATGTTGACTTAAAAAAGTTGTAATATCCGACGGTGATTTATCTAATATGGATGATGGTATTGTTGTCTCTATCCCTGACGTTGCTGCTGTTGTTGTCATAGTCATTGTCGTAGGATTCAATGACGTTGGCGGTAGTATGGATGGTAGAAATGGTAATCCTAAAATACCAGCTAAGGCTGAAGCTAACGCAAGTCCACCATTTGGATTAGACATGGGATCAATAGATTGGTGATGGTGGTGATCCACTAAATTAGGACTAAATGATGTTGATGGATAAGTTGACTTGTTTTTTATTTGTTTTGAAGAATTGACCTCACTTATTTGTGTTGACGCTGGTATTATTGTCGTTGTGACCGGTATCGACGCTGTTGTAGTTGTTGATATAGACTTCCTCAAAGTTTTAGACACTAATGATGTGTCTACAACGTGGTTATTACCAGTGTACAATGTAGCCATCCACTATTCTATTATAAATACAATGCATAACTCAATTATTTATGACCACAAATAGAAATTGAACGTTGATAATCCCAAAGAATCAGATATAGACAGTAGTAGTACTACTACTAGTGGTACGAATTTATGACTGACTTTGTCTATGCATACAATACACTGCAGATCCTTTATTTTTCTCATACACTATGGATATCTGTGCCCATACAAAAATGTATGACTAACGAATAGGAGTTATGGAGATTGTATGCTATCAAATTGTGTATGTGTTATTCTCTACACCACAACAATTATTATCTTGGGCCCTATAGTCTAGCTAGTTAGTAATAATGATAATTGTTGTTAATATTAATGTTGTGACATCTCTCTCATTGCATGATACATCTCTCTTATTTATTTATTTATTCATTCATTCATTCATTCACTCACTCACTCACCTAATAAGTGGAGAGAAATATGCGTCTAGTCTTGGGGCAGTTAACTTCAACAACAATCCAGTGTATTCTTTAATAATAATTTTTTTAGGGTACACATATTACTGTGTGTGCGATCCTCTCTTTGAAAAAAAATAATAATGTAAGGGGTGGAAAGGAGGAGTAGAATTTTGATTGGACACTTACATAGATTTTTAGGGGTTATGTGACTTATGACTAATATACTGACTGTTTTTCTTCATACATTATATTTTTTAAAAAAAACTGCCATAGAGAGTATGTAATGTAAAATGAGAGATTATAAGCAATAAACGAAGGAGAGAGAAAATTATTGGGGTGCAAAAACGACGAGTCATACATTACTTATCTCTATTGACAAGTGTGAAAGACTATAGTACTATAGTACGAGACGTCATACATACGTATGATGGTTGTGTATACGTATTTACATGCACTTAATATGTATAATGGGCCATCCTATTAATAGTGTGTATGCATGTTTAGCAAAGTGGGTTTTTTCTTCATAAAAAATTCATGTATGTTTTTCGTTTCATATTTGTGTCTTCCTGTGTTGGTTTTTAAATTCATTTTAGAAAGAAAAGGTTAGCTTACTGTGTCCACTAAATCACGTGAATCACTAACTAACTCTCTGATGTACACCATGACGATGAGTTAATAGTGTATGGAGAGAGTTTGTATAAATAGCAATAGCGATAACAATAATAATAATAATATAAGTCAAATGCAACCATGACAGCTGGTGTCGAGAACCACATAGAAAAGATAAGAACGAGCGGGAGAGCGAGCGAGCGAGCAAACAAACAAACAAATAAATATCCCCACAATACACAACAGTAATGCAACGATAACTATGATAGGCAAATAGATAGACAAGACTTATTTCAGTCAAATTAACAATCTGTTATAATACTATGTTATACGATATGACAATCAAACAGAGTAGTAATAATACTAATGAGAGTATTATTAATAATGATAGGTAGTAATGGCAATAATGAGTAAATACAAGTTTTTTCCCTATTTTTGAGGAAAGTAGAAAATTCGTCATTCCATATAAAACTACTCAATTGATTTGTTAGCTATTTACACAAATTGAGCGGGTGAGTGTGCAGACCACGGAAAGAGAGACAAATGAGTAATTGGTAAGAAGACTGGACATAATGAGATGCAGGAGAAATGGCAAACGTCTGTATCCGAATGCCTAATGTAATGCGTGGAAAAGATACAGACAGAGATAAAAAAACATTGTGATGAATGATAATATTACAATGTAGACGAGATTGAGATTGAATAAATAAGAGTAGTTTTGACATGTTCCAATATCAATATGTATCAGAATAAGTACTTTGTTACCTCTTAGTTTAATTATAGCAAATGTAAGTGGAGTGATCAAGTGGGTTTGATAACTCCACCCACAACTTATTGATCACCGAGTGGTAGTGAGAAGTGTCATATTTGTTTAGTGCTTTAGTACTGATCAAACTGCAATATGGACCCTAGTCTAGACGACTCAATATTGAAATAGTTGGATAGAGATCCTTCCGCTAGGTTGTTTTGATCACTCAACCTACCTACTTTAATGTATTCTTATTTGTACAATGATGATCAATTAAAATATTTGAAGGAATATGGAAAAATTAACTAAAAGTTTGCATTTATCAGGAAAACGGGCAAACTACGATCCGCGAGAAAAAGCAGTCAGTCATCCGAACTTATACGGTTCATCAGGTCATTTAGAAACATTTACAAAATCGGTCGAATGTAAGAGAATTAGAATCTGTTTTAATTAAATACAACAATTTATGTTAATATCTAAAGAAATGATGTTTGAAATTAAACTCAATCTAAGTAACTTTAGTAACTTGAGCATACTAAATTACCAACATTAACAACAGACACGGATCTCAGTGAAATCTATTGATAAGAATAGTTAACAAATTTCAATACTCAGGTAATACCTCTTCACATTTCGAAGATTTCAGTGTTTAGATCATACAATTAATTTTATTGAATGCTGTTCCATCTTTTCAGATTGAGGCAAATAATCGTAACATTCAAATGGAACAGTTTCAAACATGCAACACTGATTAAATCATTACTGAGAGAGGATTAGTTTTACAATCTGGCTAAAAAAAAATTCTACAATCCAAATAATTCTCTTATTTGAATCAACCGATAGCTATGAACAAACATTTTTATGCAATCAAATTTGATGAATCCAAATTCAGATCACAACTAATATAACTAATATTATTATGTATGTCAAGTAACGATTTCTGATTACAATAGATCTATGAAAAACAATGCTAAATTTGGTTCATTTCATTGATAAAGTGAATTAGATGATTGCTTAAATTTCATTCATGAATGATACATGTCAATATGATAATTAGAGACATTTTGTGATTTTCTATGAGAGGCTCACTTAATGTGATACTTGAACACATCCAGACGTTTATTAGAAATAGTTCCCTTCCTTTGCTATGCATAATCTATCACAGACCAAAATATTCCCTTATTTATCAAGAATTGAGTATATTGGCCAGTTGCTCACTTATTGCCCAATGTTTCATGTTCGTAAGATACGATATCGATACAGGCCAATGATGTGAGGAAGTTACATTTGTTTGAATTAAGGCTTCCTACTGAAATATTAAGATTTTATAGAGTTGTGGAAAGTAACTCAGATTGGTTAAACTTTCAATGACTGGGAATGAGGACCAAGTCCTGGGTTATACACATACTATTCTATTATTTACCATGATGATAACTTTATTAGGAAGAAATGGATGTTCAAGAGAAGTGGAGATTTTCTGATTGGAATCATTAGTTTGAAAACTCAATTAAGTGATGCGAGTCAAAATCAATAATCATAATGAAGAGACATATTCACAATTATCTTATAAAGTACAGTAAACATAATACTATTCCTTTATAGAATAGAATTCTTTATTGTACCAAAATATAATATTGAATAAAGCCATTAATAATAATAATAGATTTATGACTAACAATGGAATCCAGGATGTGAGGTTCGTACTATTCGTGGTTCGTCAACCGAATATCCCTACACCCTAATGCTAATATCCACACGCAGACTCGGACCAAGAACCTTTCGCACATATGCCGACAATGACTGATCACAATCCCGTCATGATTATCGATAACGGGATCACCCAAATATTCTCTAATAATGATATCATTGATATATATATTTCATTTACCAAGTATGAATTAATGTACTTAGTTTCGAGCAGCAACTCTGAGTATGTAAGATACTAATGCCCAGTTAACTGGCAGGTCTTGCACTTGCAACTTAATCGCTAAATGCTAGACGCATTAATTATCGAACTTGCGTTCTTAATAACAAGAATATTCATATAATTACGATACCAAACTATAAACTTCAATGTCTTCATTTATATATTTCTCAAAGTCCTTACAGTAGACTGATGTAGAACTCAAGTGAAGCTGTACGAAAATAACACGATACTTTGATATGGATTGATAATAAACCTAGCAGCTCTGTTTTGAACCATCTTATCTCATGTCAACGGCCCCGCATATGATTGAACCTATGACCTTTACGTCTACCAGTGAGCACATTAATTGCAAAACTACTGAGTTTAAATCCAATAGTTGACACATTTCAAAACTCAATCAATTCACGATTTAGCGCGACGAGCACTTAATGCCTAAGGTGATGACTATCTTTCTATGAACCATGATTCTACATTTAGTTATTGACAGAGACTT